CTGATCCGGATGGGTGAGTCCCATTAGGGGCAGGCTGGCAGGGGGGAGGGGCCTTGAGGTTGGCTGGCTGGCCCCACCCTGATTGGGCTGGTTCACGGGCCACAGTGGGCATCATAGCGACCAGTCGTTTCGGTTGTTATGGTCGCAGGCTTTTATATATTTAGACTTGTAGTTAACTCCATACCATCACAGCTATGAGGTCATTGGGGCTTTTTCTCTCATAAAAGCTGAATAAATTTTGGGGGTCATTTGTGCCATTACACTCAGTTTATTTAATAACTAAGTGAATTGGTATATTTTTGGATATTATTTTTATCTAGATTTAATTCTGTGCCTTCCACCCATGATTGGTTTTGCTGGCTCCCCACACAGAAAGCTTAGAAAGGTCTGTGTGTGTATTTCCTGACTGCAAGCAGCCAGCGCCGGCCTGGCTAACTCTAGCCCGCTGGGGAGGTGCCGCACAGGACCCAAGAAACAGCTGGGAATCTGGCCTGGCCAGGGCAGGACTGGGCACACTGGCAGGGGCCTGGGAAGGAGGAGCTCGTCTGTCCTGGGGAGCGTTAAAATCAACAAAGGGATCTTGGACAAAGTTGACACATTGCAACATTTAAAAAAATTTTTTTATTGATTTCAAAGAGGGAGGGAGGGAGAGGGAGAGAGAAACATCAATGATGAGAATCATGGATCAGCTGCCTCCTGCACGCCCCACACTGGGGATTGAGCCTGCAACCTGGGCCTGTGCCCTGACCTGACCGGGAAACAAACTGAACTCCTGGTTCATAGGTTGATGCTCAACCACTGCGCCACGCCGGGCCCTGCTAGTTGTAATTAATTCTGTTTTCCTATCCGTTTGCCTCTCTTCAGAGGCAAAGAGGAGGGGCGGGGAGGCAGCTGCACCTACACACACTGCCCTGGCGCAGCACCATGTCCAGAAGCAGGGGCGGGGCAGTGGGCAGCCACCATCACAGAAATGCCCATTACGGCCTCTTGTTTCCGATCAAGCCCTTTTCATGGCTTTTCCCAGAAGGCACCGTCTCCCTATTCGTCAATACACCCCACTTTTCCCTCCACCACGATCCGGCCCAGTAGTGTGTCTGGCAGCTACACTGCCCTTCCCGGGAAAGCCTGTCCTGCCCGTGCCCTTTGAGGGCTTCCCTTTGAGGCTAGGAAGTCCTGGCCTCGCAGCCTGCAGGCCGCTGCCTCACCGGCGGGTGAGGGGCAGAATGCACCACCCAGACTGGGGCCACCGGGCATGGACATCGTTTTGAGCTGAAGACAAGCCAGGCCTCGCAGACTCAGAGTGCTTCCCCTCCCCGTTAGCCACCTGGGGGTTTAGATAGAGGCCTCTCCCAGAAGCACTGCTGCGAGAGGCAGCTCCTTAGATCAGAGACTCATCTGCAGGGCCGGGCAGGGCCTGGCACCATTGCTCACCGCTTGGAAGCATCTGCTCACTGCTCTTCCTGTGGGTGATCTCCCTCCCCGCTGAAGCCAGGACCCCACCCCTCATCTAGCTCAGGGTGGCAGACAAGCCTGTCAGCCCCTGTCTGTATGGGGCTCCAGTAGGTACAAAATTTGTTCTCCTTAGTCTGTCAATCAGCCAAAGAACCGAGAAGGGAAGGAGGTTTCCTGCCCCTGTAAGCTCCAACCACTCCCCGCCCCGCCCCACAGCGCAGGTACTGCTGGCAGCTCTTCTCTGGGCACAGGCTGGCTCCCACCGCTCTCACCTGCACGTCCCCAGGTGGAGCGCACAAGTCCAGCCATTACCTTCCACGGGCCCTTCTCCACCTTACAGACCACCAGCATGAGTCCTGGCCTTTGTTTCCAGGCTTCACTCCCAGATGCCCCGACCGGCCCTCATGTCCTACCGGTCACGCCATCCTGACACCTAGTGTGCACTTCGCTCTCAGAACACAGCACCTTCTAGTTGTTAGATGGGATGCCGCTCGATTCATGAATCACTTCCTAAAGCCAATTACATCTTCAAGTTCACTTGGCTGAATTGGGCTCTTTAACTCTGTGATACGTGGTGAGAAAAAAGGTGCCATGTGCCATAAGCTGGATCTATTGTGCTTTGTTAGAAGGTTGCTGTGCTGGGCACTGTTCTATGTTACATTTTACTGGGGTAGTTTTCAGGTTGGAGTTGAAACTCTTTGAGAGGCCACTGAGAGGGAGGGCTGCTTAACAGTTGGGACTTGAGGCCAGAGGGGATAGGCGGCCTTTCAGTAAAAGCATAAGTGGCTTGATGAGGTATCTCCAATCAGGTAACTGATAGAATTCACCATGAAGAGATTGCAATGTATGCATTGGAGTAAGGAAGGAGTGACACAAAATTTACATTTTTTTGGATAATGAACCTGATTAGCGTGGCTTAGTGGTTGAGCATTGGCCTCTGGTCATCTGTACCTGGTCAGGGCATATGCCCAGGTTATGGGCTCAAATCCCAGTGGGGGGCATGTAGGAGGCAGCCAATCAGTGGTTCTTTCTCATCATTGATGTTTTTCTCTCTCCCCCTCTCCCTTCTTCCCTGAAATCAATAAAAATGTATTTTTAAGAAATGTCCTTACAGCCCAGCCAGTGTGACTCAGTGGTTGAGCGTTGACCACGCACCAAGAAGTCACTGTTTTAATTCCACTGGGGCATGATGTTTCTCTCTCCCTTTCCTCCTTCTCTTAAAAAAAAAAAATATTTTTTTTTGAATGTCCTTACAAAGAGGTCCTGGTGTGCTGCAGCCCAGGGCCAGAGAGCCAGCGGCACTTAGTAGGTGTTTCTCTGGGAAACAGGGCTATGGCAGGTGCTACTTCATTTGGTGTGAATGCCAAATACAGAAATGCCAACGGGAACACGGACTAGGAAAACGCCTGGGTGAGCACTTCTCTGTACAATGTCGACATGAGTTGGCAAATGCTATTATGTCACAAGTCTGAGAAAATGTTAGGCCTCTGTGTTCAGTTGCTTGTATGCCTCCTAAAGTAACAAAGAAGCGAGAGCACGAGGCGTTCTGCTGCATGAAGTTTACTGATACATTACGCGTAGTGGCAGACTCCACCTTGAACATCGACTCAGACAGCCTCGTTTTCAGCATCTGTGAGGAATGATGTAAGGAGGGAATTTTTAAGTTCAATCACGAACCTGAACATGTGAAATGAGATCAGAAATGCAAAGTACACCCTCCTGCTGCCACTAAGCTCTTAACCTAATCAGTTTCCTGTGCGTTTGCACTGAATAGCCCCTAGCATTTCATGCTGAACACAATGCATTTTAGTGGAGTTTGACAATTCCACTGCCAGCCTGACGGGATACATAAGAACGCACACCCCTTTAGGCTGTATTAGTAACTGCACCTACCTCCTTAAACACAGAACTGCAGCTCCCGACCCTGTGAGTAAACCCAGCTCTGGTCCATCGGATGCTGAGCTCGAGCGCACGGAGACTGTACTGAGCTTGTGGTGTTCGGGTGTAGCCAGCCCTGAATAGGTCCCCTCATCTCCCTGCTTCTAACCTGCCTCCTGTTGTAACCCTTCCCCGCGTGGCAGCCAGCGGGACCCAACACCGTCCTGGCTCCTCGTTCGGTCCAGACCTCCTTACTGGGTGTGCGGGGGCTTCCGCTGCAGGCCCGACCTGTGTGCCTCGAGCTCTCCCGTTTCCTCATGCACCCGCCATCTCACGGGGCCGGACACCCCCATCGCTCTCCAGCCCTACGTCTGTCTGTGGCCCTTTGCAGGGCTGGCTCACTCAGCCTCAGGCAGCAGTTGGTGAGCCTGATGGTGAGCCTGTATGGTGCCTTGTTCTCAAACTGCTCAGCCCTCTGTACCGGTTCCCTGTTCGCGTTGCTCTTTACTACGCCCGTGGCGGGAGGGACTGGCACTGGCATTTTAAGTGACAGATAAAACCCGCATCTTCGCGTAGGTCCACTCTGGCTCCTGAGCTTCCTCACATTTCCAACCTGTCCTCTGCTGGGACTATTCTCTCTGAGGGAACAACTGACCACCCTGGCTGGGCACGCCAGCACAATCTCCCAGCCCGGCCTGGCTCTCCAGCTGTCCCAGGCTTGCCCCCTGCACCCCCCAAAACACGCCCACGGGTAGTTCCCACCGAAGGCTGTCCTTTTACAAAACAATCCATGCCCTTGGGAGTGCCTTCCACGGGAGCTACACACGCCGACAGGCATTCAGAGTGAGGGCGCTGAGGGCTGTGCCAGGCCTTGACCCTCGGTGGGCCGTTGGGTTTGTGCACTGCTGTGCCCCCATCCGTGGAGACCATTTCATTGAGTCAGAGAATACTCCAACTCTCTGCACATCTCAACTCAATTCAGTGTTTTAAGAATTCTCTGTCTCCAGGTCAACAAATGAGAGTGCTGAAAACCAAGTGTGCGAAGGCCCACCGTGGGGGATTACCTGTGGCATTAGGGTTCTGCTCTGCGGACATTGGCAGTAGTCAGGGTTATCTCTCCAGCAATACCGTAACTTCCAAAGGGGGTACGTTTGTCCCCAGATCCTGAACACTTTTTGGCTACATCTTCTACCGGGATAGCGAGAGAAAGGAAAACTGGGCTCTGTGGCCGGGGACCTTCTTGTCCACTGGAAGGAGGACTAGCACTCTGGGCATGTCGGGGGAGTTTCTGGAATTTCTGATCTGCAGGAACGGCAATGGGCACTTGGACTGTTGCGTATCTCTTCAGGGTATCTGACTGGGACACGACCGTGTGCCCGGGAAGCGGCTTCCAGTCCTGCGCTTCCTGGACATTGGCGCCTACTAGGATAAAAGGCGGGGCACTGGCCTTCTTGCTGTCGTCCATCATCACGTAAGTTGGAGAAGTGACTTTCGGTGGACTCTGCAGATCCTTAGCATTAGGTAAATAGAGAGTGGCCTGGGGGAAAGGCCCAGGTGCAGGTGGCGGTGATGGGCGGCTTGGTTGATTCATATCAGTTAGACAGTAAAGGGTCCACGTGTTAGAATATGGTGGTGGCTGTCCTGCTTCGCTTGTTGCTATTGCTATAAAACAAAAATTTGCAGGCGTTAAAGGTTTGGTCTCTGTATCAGGCGCTATGCACAGAACTATCTTTGTAAATGTTTTACGTATAGATGAACAGCTGTAGTAACATGTGCCATAAAGCATGCTAGAGAGAGAGCTCGGTAAATTGTGTTTGGCAGCATGAAGGGAGTCTCCACAGCAGGAGGCAGAGCAGGGCTGCGGGGGCACGTGGGGACACCGGCTGCGGGGAAAGCGGCCCCTTCCAAGTGGGTATTTCCAGGGGCTTCAACTGCAGACGTGGCTGCCTCAGGGCCCTCGAGGGGAAATGGGACTGAGAGAATCCACTGGACAGTGGGTTAAGCCACTGAGAAAAGATGACTGCATCTGCATAGTAATTTTTTCTTGACTACAAAATCTGAGCCAGCATGGCTCAGTGGTTGCGCATCAACCTATGGACCTGGAGGTCACGGTTCAATTCCCAGTGAGGGCACATGCCTGGGTTGGGGCTGTATCCCCAGTGTGGGGTGTTTCTCTCTCATCACAGACATTTCCATCTCTCTCCCACTCTCCCTTCCTCTTTCTGAAATCAATAAAAATGTTTTTTAAAAAAGAAGTCTGCACGAGGTGTCGTCTTTTAATCCAGTATCTCTGCCTTTTCACAGGCACCCTTCTCTCCCGTTAACTTCACTCAATCTAGGACTCCAACCCCAGGGAGCAAGGCTTGAGCCCACAAATCCTTGTGGGCATACAGGCTGGTCAGTCCCACAGGTTCTTTAAGAAAAGCGGCCTGGGCGTGCTGTCCACCTGCTTCTGCCAAGAACTAGCTAATGGGATCGACTCACCGACAGCCAGTGCTGAGTCCCGGGAGCGGGGCGGAGGGGAGGCTCCTGAGGGGAAAGCTGCCTGGCCCAGGTGTGGGAGGCTCACCTGCGGGCACTGTCCCTGTGTCCCTGGTGCAGCTTCTCTTCCCCAGAAAACACCTCCACGGTGCACAGGGTCACGCTGGTGTGTCTCCCACAGCTTCCGACCTTGGCTACTTCCCGGAGTTCATGTGAAACACGGATCAGCCACATCTTCGGTGCTTTGTTCAAGAGCCCTGGGCGCCCACGGGGAAGAGCCCAGCACCTGAGAGCAGTGCCTCGGTGTGGAGTGCTGCTCACGCCACAGGTGCGCCGCCTCCCGCTGCCTTCCCAGCTGCGCAGAGTCCCTGTCATGCTGCCAGACAGAATTTACGTCTAAACACCTGCTTTGTAAGCCATCATTTGGCTCTGGTGAGAGTCAACGTTGAGAGTCTGCAAAAGGCATGGAGAGGCTGGCTCCTGCTCATCCCGTCCACCCCACAGGGCGGTGGGCCCTGACCGTGTGCAGACGGGCAGGAGGGAGCAGACCCAATGCCACCATCAGATGAGCTGGAGGTCAGGCGGGTCTGTGTCCAGGGAAGCAGTGGCTCTCGCAGGCGAAGGCAGGTGTGGGCTCTGTGAGGACGCTGACAAGGGAGCTGTGCCCACTGCTCAGTGCCACCTGTCCTTCCGCTGCTGCCGCCACCCTGCTCTCCTGGGGACAGAGCCTTACCTAACCTGTCTTCCCTCCACGGCAGGAAGAACCAGGGCTCGGTCCAGCTCCCCAAACCTGGCTGCAGAGTCTCAGACGTGGGGCGAGAGCAGAGGCGAACACACCACCATGTCTTCCACGTGCAATGCCACAGCCCAGGGAAGTGCACGGCTGCCGTGGGACCTTACCCTCCGAGCGCAAGGTCAGGTGCCCCCGAGTGCAGGGCCACAGGGCCATCGATGGGCACAGTCGACAGGCTCCAGTCCACTCCAATCTGTTCCGGGGGAGGCCAAGCAAATGCTGAGGGCCAAGGTCAGGTCCATTTCATGTCCCTCCAAAATCGCTCCCAAGAGTAATGTCTCCACAACAGCAGCGCCTTTCCGTGGGTTTGGCATTTTAAAAACTATTTAAAATGAAGTCTGACCAATCTGCAGGGGCCCTTCCTAGACAGTTACCTGAAATACGACGCTGCCTGAAACGTGACTCCAGGCTATGTCTAAGGTGGTATCTATTTCTTACCTGGCTCCATCAAACCTGGTGCAGGTGCTGCCTCCCCTTCGGGTTCGATCTCTGGTCCAGTGAGACCCTCTGGAGCGGGACTGGGGACGCCACCAGGTGGCGTTACTGAGGCACCTGAGTGCAAGGCTTCGGCAGCTTCCCCAGAGCCCACTGGTCTGACCTCTGCCTCCGGGGGAGCGGAGTCTTCCTCCAGCCTGGCTTGGGCAGCTTCCCCAGAGCCCATGGGTCTGACCTCTGCCTCCGGGGGAGCGGAGTCTTCCTCCAGCCTGGCTTGGGCAGCTTCCCCAGAGCCCACGGGTCTGACCTCTGCCTCCGGGGGGGCGGAGCCTTCCTCCAGCCTGGCTTGGGCAGCTTCCCCAGAGCCCACGGGTCTGACCTCTGCCTCCGGGGGGGCGGAGTCTTCCTCCTGCCCGGCTTGGGCAGCTTCCCCAGAGCCCACAGGTCTGACCTCTGCCTCCGGGGGGGCGGAGCCTTCCTCCTGCCCGGCTTGGGCAGCTTCCCCAGAGCCCACAGGTCTGACCTCCGCCTCCGGGGGGGCCGAGTCCTCCTCCTGCCCGGGAACTAGCGCAATGATCTCCACTTCAAGATGCAGAGATCTCTGAGAGCCTATGGCCTGGGCGGCGCCCTCTGGGTTCAGGGACTGTGCAAGCAGGCCTTTCAGAGAGGTGTCGGAGATCAGAATGGTTGCTTCTGCCTCCACCTGCACGGAGGGATGGTTTGCATCCTCCAACGGGGCAAGTTCTGCAGAACCCTCAGCTTTTTCAGGCCCGCCCGAGACTCTCTTGTCTACAAGAATGGCACTCTCTGGTGGTGACTGCTCAATCTCTTTAAGACTAACAAAGTGATCGGAAAAAGCGGTAACTACTTCTTCTGATGTTTGCTCCATATGAGTAACTGCTTCAATCACAGGCTTGTCGTTAAAGATAGATGAGATATGAGGGGTGGTCTTCCCCCCAGTGCCAGCCTGCCAGGACCCTCGAGGAGCTTGATCAAAGGCAGGGAGGTCTTGTTCATCCTGCAAGGGGGGTGAGGGAGCCGTTGCTGGTTCAGCCTGATCATCTGTAGGCTTAGACCCCAAAGCTACATGGACAGAGGAGTGGCTTGCCATCTGCACTGCTACCCTCTCTCCAGAATTTGCAATAGAAGTGGTCACCACAGTGTCTTCAGCAACCTCTGAAGTCAGCACCTCGTCGGCAAAAACAGGCAAACTTGTTGCCACATCCACCATTAAAACTTCAGACTGATCAGAATGAGTAGATGAAACGTTACCTAACATCTGAGCAGCAAATTGAGCGGGGTCGGCGGGGACATAGGCAAACTCTGGTGGGACGTCAGCCGGGGATGGTGACGAGGTGGGGGTAGTCTTAGGGGTGCATGGCTTGGGTGGACGGACTGCCTTGCTTGTGTCCTCCGGCTCTGGCTGCTGCTCAGCATACACGGACGGGAACTGCGTGGTCTTGTGGATGAACTGGGGTCTGAAGATGTGGTCCTCCTCCGTGTCCGTGGACTTCTCCACCCGGGTCGGCTCTTTGGGAATGGCAGCTGCTTCTCCTGGTTCTTTTATGAACTCTGGCGGCTTCTCTTCTGTCCTTTCTTCGCACCATTTCTCAACTGAAATAGCAGCCGGGGTTAGTAAGCGTACATCCCCGATGGAACACATTAAAGAAGCGGCAACAGGCTAAACATTCTCACGTCAATTCTATACACACGAGTACAGAAGAGCTTTGATTTTACAACATCTGCAATGTAGTAGGGAAAGGAATGTGACTGCCCTGCTCTGCCTACTTCAAGACTCTCCCTCCATCCATCTCCTGAAAAGTGAGTGATTCAGGTGGCATGACAACAAAGTCAACCAGCTGCCAACTCAGCTGGTCAGCACCTAAGGAAAGACACTAACGCTGCCTGGAAATGAGGAAGCTGGAACCTCCGTGGGAACAGCTGCCAATCCAACTGCCACACACAACCAGGGAGGGGACAGACTTCCCCGGCAAGGAACACCCAGCCTTTTGCTGGTTTATGGAATGCCTTCTATTGTAATAAAGGCATTCCTCACATTAAAGAAACTGGCATCTAAAGTTTAACGTAATGAACTGGAAACCCGGGACTACAGTATGTTTTTCTATTAGGAAACAACATCTATTCCTACCTAGAAGCAGTAGCCCCTGCTGGTGAGCTGGGGTAATGCAGCCAGTCCCCCTGACCCGGACAAAAAAGGAGCAAAAAAGAGATTTCTGGATCCCTGGGTGTGCCCTCAGCAAGAGGGAAATTCCAGGAACATCAAGGCAGCTGATGACCGAGAAACTCCTACAGCTGGACCACTGTAAGGTTTTTTCTGCTTGTCACCCGCACGCCTGTGTGACCACCTGAGCTGTAACTACCTGCTTCACCGGTAAAGCCTCTCAGCCTCTCCCTAATATTAGAATGAAACCTCTAGGACCCATCCTCTCATTGTGCATTTACTGAACTCATGATCTTAAGACTTAGGGTGACTAGGAAAGATGGCCAGTGACAATAAACTTGTTTCCTAATTGTCTTCCAGCCTGGTCTGCAGTTACACTACTGAGATGGGGGAGGAAGGAGGTGGTTTAGCTTCTTTATAAAAAGGATCTTCCAAGGAGAGTGTTTACGCAGCTTTCCTATATATTTCAATGTAGTTGAGTCTTTTTTACTACAGAACCAATTCTGTTTGATTTTCTGTGTTTCCCTCAAGACAAATATTCAGAAACCTGCTGGAGAGGGATTGAGTCACAGCTCACACACTGTTGTAAGTCTCACTGTACCCAATGGCCAGATTATTATGACCACCTGACGTTTGTAGGCAAATTAGCTATAATTTCGTGCTGAAGTTGCTAGAGGGCCAGACCACTATAAATAAGGAAGCAGGTTGTTTATGACAGTAGAAGTGATTTTTTTCTGAAGATATGGTTAAACAACGCGATTTAACAACCTTTTAACGTGAGATTA